CTCATCACAAATACTGTTTCAATTAATTCCTCACATGTTCTACCCTTTCTTGTGGGCGAGGTTCAGGTACTTTCATGAGCGAGTACTGCCTTTCTTCTTTGGCCCTTCTGTGAAACAATAATCCCTTCCCAGATTTAGATTAACGGAAAGCTTACCATTCGCAGACACAATCCCAGATAAGTCGACAACGACGACCTACAAGTACTTTAGTGCATTTTGTTGCTAAATGCAAGTAAGCCTTCCCTCAAGAAGTTCGACTCGACTTGCACTGAATATAGCACTTTTACATATTCTGAGATTAATTAGGGCGCGATGAAGCCTGAGTCTATGGGGTCATTTTGCAAGTCATTCTCCCTCCAAATTCCCTTCAGACCGGAATCGGCTGTAGTTTCCTTGAGCTGGGTTACATCTTGAGAAAAATCTATCGAGGAACTTCATTGTCTTCCCCGAAGATCTATGAGAGAAACGATCGGGAAGCTCGTTTCGGTAGCATCAAAGAATGATTCGCCAAACGACGAAAGCGCCATCTCGATCCGGTTTTGGGATTTCATTGTTCGAGAAGCTGTCGGATGGCTTGCCTGTCACTTCTAAGTGGTTCAGCTTTGGGCTTCCGTGTTTGGCCGGCTGCACACATGGCGCTGCTGCCGTGTGTCACCTAGGAAGGGACGAACGTTGGGGCAAATATGGCACGATTGTGACTCGGCTGACCGGCTCGCTCGTAAAGGATTAACCGATTCGACGGGCCGACCGATGAAAATTCTCGACTGGGTAGTCTTGGGACATCACTCTGTTGTCTTTTCAAAAATATCTTCATGAGAAACTGGTGCACCAACCTTGAATGCTTAGCGGTGCAGCACCCCAAAGCATTCAAGTTACAGTCGAAAGAGACGCACGACCAAAAAGTGGGATTTAGTAGGAATGAAAATGCCTGGAAGGCTAGAGTAGGCGTATTCGGGTCAGGGAAAAGAAAGTTGCAGTGAACCAATTACATGAACTGAGATCTTTTTTTTTTTTTTTTACGCCAGCGTCTGCGCCATTCAGATTACGGGAGAAAGCCGACAGAAGCGAAGACTCGTTGAAAAAAAAAAAGAATAAGATTTCTAAGCCTGTACTAGGAGATTACTTCCATTTGCTCTTGATCTCCTGGAGAGAGAGCCAGAAATAACGTCAGTCTAGGGAAAATTGAAATTCTAGGAGAAAATACAGCGGAAGAGCCATCTCATCATCTTGATCCGCTGCTCGGCTGAACTTCGCCTTCCTTGCGTGCTTTGACTCGGCTGAGAAAGCAATTTTAACATTAAAAAATAAATGTTTTGACTGGGGATTGCCTTCAACCCCTTCCCGTAACAATATTCAACCTCCTCGTATTCCTCTTTGAGACGATCAACAGGAAAGAAATTAAACATGTTTATTCCTCTCTCAACACATAATCGCTCCCGCAAATTTGAAGCTCCATCTCCCCGGGGTCGTGGAGAACACGAAATCTCGCTTTTTCAAAATGTCAATTTTATTCGAGTTTTTTTCTCACCCCCCCCCCTCCCCCCCAGTATTGGAATATAAATTCTAATAAGTCTTCATCTAGATGTCTCGAAGACCACCCTTATAGGCCCTAATAGTAAGTCGAGGGTTGAGTTTTTTTTTTTCAAGAAAAAGGTAGGCCCAGTCCTAAAGTTTGCAGGTAGAGATATTGGGGAGGGGGGGCGGGGGTGTTGAAGAAAGGGAAAGCCTTTGACAAATGGTTTTCACATTACTTCATTGTCTTGTGCGAAAAAATAGAGGGTATTTAGGGGGATGAATGCTCTCCTTTGTTGGTGTCTAAAAGAAAAAAAGGCACATATGTCAAGTGAGAGGTTTACTTGCCTTCATCACTTGACGCTTTTCACGGTCGGTGAAAGTGATGTCAAGTGGGGCCACAGAAATTCCCAAATTGCCTAAGGCAAGGGGAACATCAAGAGCTTTCTAGAAAGTATTTGCCTTATTTGAAAGAGCCTCATTAATGCCACGTACACGTTTCCCCCCTTCACTTGATGAAGAACTTAGCTAGACGTTCGAAAGTTCAGAATCTCGAAGGATCGGCCTTTTCCATTTTAATTTTTACTCACGCGTCTTCCTTTGCGACACCTTATATTCCTGTAAACTGGGACGACTTCCTCTCATGGTATCCGCTGATGATATTGCAGCCCCTTCCTCCACATGCTTCACCCTGGAATAAACGAGAGACTTCGAGTGACGAAAAGATCTCATGGGAAATAATACGTGGGGACGATGAATGATGACGGGGGAGGAAGGGGGGGGAGGGTGCCTTTCGGCTCCCCCTTCCTGACAGTGCTCTGGCACGCCATCATTCTTTGTTGTCCCTGACATTCAGGCTTGAAGTTTACTGCCGCCGAGAATCCCCTATATCCTCATGCGGCCAGCAGGTCACGTTTACGACCCCTTCAAGTCATTATTTTGTACATGGGTTGCCATCACCCTAGAAAGATTTGTTTTAGATAACTTGTCTGCGTATATAACTTTTATGCACGATGGGAATTCGCAAAATTCAACGAAATCCTGAGGGAACCAAAATAAGCGAGTTAATTAAAATGGTGAAATTCGTTTAAAAAAATATGGTTGCTTCTGCCGAGACATTAAGACAAGGCCATGGAAGTCACCTTCAAACTTGCATAAGTTTCGGATGCTTCAAACTTGTATTAACACGAGCGTGACCCTTGGACAGTAAGGCCCGAATGCACAAACCTCATTTAGGGAAGATAAAGAGGCCTTTAAGCTTAAGAGTTCATTTCCTCTCAAAGGAGTCCACGTATTCTTAAACTAAAGGTGGTTTCAGCATTCGGGCCCAAGTGGTACACAATCTGCATCAAAACTTGCTTGAGGTCTCACATAAAGTGCAGTTTTCAGGTTATTAACATCACCCCGAGTAGATTGTTACCAATAACATTATGGAACTCTTTTGTGATCACGAATTTCGCTCGAGAGACTTCATGCATTAGGGTGTCTGTTTACCCACAGGCACTATACTAGTACTATCTATTTTTCCCCCCAACATTTTCCCATCAATCTTGCTTCACAACAATCACAACAACTTGCAATCACAACATTTGCATAATTTTTTCCATCTGGCATCCTAGAGATGGTTTAAAGGCAACTTGCAGATTTTTTTGACAATTTCTACCATTGCGAAAACGCATGGAAATATAAACGCAAGTGATATTACTCGTAAACACATTTTTCCTGCAGTTAATTTCTTAACGTCCGAATGTTGACTTTTCCATTGTAAATTACCACTCTTTATTTTCTAAATTGGGAGCCATGCTATGCTGAAGTAAGAAATAAAGCATAAAGAGGGGGTAAAATGAGATTTTTCGTTATTGAATCTTTGTATTAACTTGCCCACTACTTTCACCTTAGCATGTGGATACCCGGTGCGTAATAAACTGCATTTTAAATATAATACGCTTGTATTTATTCCAAGTTCATTCATCTCATTTTGTTACATGCACATAGCAGTATCTAGTTCCTGTCTAGGTAGTAGATGTCCAAGGGCCACAAGGCATCCCAGATGCGCAAGAAATTCATTTTCCTCTACTAAGACGCATGTCGGCGCCGTTCCGTTAAAATCAATATCGGGGGAATCACAAATGCGACCCTTGGATTATACGAGGATGCGCCTACTTGAAGATAATCTGTCCGTCAACCAGGAAGTAGACTCGCATGGAAACGTCGCATCGAACGGTCCCCTCGTTTCGTACTGAAGCCCCGGCAGAGGTCCGTGGGGCTTCAATCCTTCTCCGACTGTCGAGGGGGCTATTCAAGGAATTCAGGGTTGAGATGCGCATTCTGGACGAGGTCTGTCAGGAATGGATGAGAAATGCAATAGAGGAGCAATGTCGGGCAGGAACGTGATCATCATAAGAATCGATGGATATGTCAAAATCACAATTTTCAAGGACTGACAAATTCAACGCAGGTTCGGCTATGGGAGGTATTTTATTTAATTCAAGACCATGAAGTAGAAATTCCGAATGCGTGAAGTTGTTCAGTTCTCAGAGTATGCAGAGAAATTACCAGTTATTCGACTTCTCACAAGCATGCTGCTTTTCAATCGAGATGTGGAGATTGCAATTGCAGAGAATAACTGGCTTCGCTCACCCTATGAACAAACTCTCTCTAAGGCCAGAGGCCGAATATCTCAATGCTCGACCGTGCATTATCGTCTATCTCGACAGGCTATCGATGAGATTATGGCAGAGGAAGTAATTTTTCCTTTCTTCTCCTTCCGAGAATCGTCAAGGCGAAAGAAATTGCCGGCTCAGCAGGATTTCCCCCCTTTATCTAAGGCCTCAGATGCGAAGGTATTTATCTCACCTTCCTCATTCCTTCCGGGGTCAAACGCGTTCTATCATCCCGACATCGCAGGGGTCTTTCCCTATTGATGAGAGAATCGAATGGAAGGCCTGAGAGAATTGAATGGAAGGCCTGTCACTCCTGCCTCCCCTGGAGTGAATCGATTCCCCTCGGAAGCTGACGGTGTTCTCACGATCGGAACAGCAGGGCACAAGAGAAATACTAGTATCAGGGGCCTTTTTTGATTAAAATCTAAAAATTCGTTAAAGCAAATTGCTCAACCTCGGGCATGCTTTTGAATGGGGCAAATACCAGCTAAGCACCTTGCTAAGAGAGAAAAAAAAAAACACTTAAGAACGTATTAGAATATGGCCCTAGGTCGCGTTTCGTCATCCGCTTCTTGTCGTACGTCGAGGACATTTACATCATGAAGGCTCGTGCCTCGTGGGAGCAATGCAAAGCTGGTGCAGCCAAAGGCCCGTACAGGCTATTCATTCGTTTCGTGATCCATTCCGGGTGACTGATCGAACTGTCACGACGGTAACGCTTTTCTTTCCCCCGTGGGACCAAATACACACCATTATAATTTATGTAATGCCTAGATAAATCTCTGTCACCCTCCTTCGTTTTCTCCTCCATTTCTCCGGAAACAGGTACAACATCATTCTGTCGGCAATGACGTACGCCATTCCGATGATCGTGATGACATTCGCATACACCCTGATCGCGAGGAAACTCTGGGGCTCCACTAGCATCGGAGAGTGCACCCAAAGACAACTGGACTCCATCAGCAGCAAACGAAAGGTGAATTTACCATCTCCTATGGATGATTTCCAGGTGACATCAGATATAGGAAGGGAAATATAAATTTGCTCGTCAAATATTCATACTTCATTTATGGTAAAACTTTGAATCCCTTTCTTTAAATATGAAAATAATCTCCTTTTTCGCAATGATTTCTCCACATTCAAGTGCTCCTTGCAGTAACCGAAAACTCTCTAGAGATCAAGTGCGCCGCTAATATGTAGGAAATAGTCGTCGTATTCCGTCGTCCATTGCGTATTTGCAATCCTTACACAATCAGAACGTTTGCCTTGAAACAAAACCCGGTCGTCGAACGACGGAAGGGCTGAAAATCCCCACAGATTCGAGTAGTCCATTATACGGGTTCGGCTACGTCCACGATGTCGTTCCTCTACATGACTTCGTCCTGAATCACCCATACTTGTACTTCTTGCGAAAGCCCACTTTGAAAGCAAAGTTGAAGCTCGTAAACGCTTTTACTTTCTTTTTGATGGGACATGGACGAGACGCACAGGATTGGAAACTCACGAGATGCATAAACCCATGGTTGCTGTTTTGGGCCGTTGTCTCAGTCCATACCTCCCTGAACAACTACGTATTAACCATCTTTTGAATAGATGCGTCTCAACTTTAAATTGGGAATTAAACTCATGCAGACCAGTTTCAGCAGAGCAGAGCTAGTTGTGTGTTGGGGAGTGCCTAAAAGTGTATCCAGATGCTGACATCTAGAATCTGAGACATACATTTCTGTAAGACTATCGAGAAACTCATTTTATACATTTTCCTAAAATGCTGTTGGGTGCCGTCCCTTTCCTCCGTTGATCGTTCATCATCATATGCCAAGATGATAAACGATCGAAAATATTTTTAGAATTAAAGTAAGATGGCCTTACAAAAATACGCAATTCGTCATCATTGCATCGGCCAATCCAGGAAAAACCAAGAAAAAGAGGGGAGGACCACAGCAGTTCTTACATGTCTTACAAGAAGCGATTTTCCATTTTGTCGCGGAAAGGAATGTTTAAATACTCTGAAATTCTGTTTTTCAGGTGAAATATACGAGGCATTAATTTTGACCTCGGAAGAATGAGTACGGGAAACATATCATCTATACACATTTGGAATCTGAATCTGAGACCTCGTCTTGCGGCAAATTTTAAAAGCAATCCCTTTGGATTACTTCGTAATTACCCCAGAGACAAATCAACATCAGGTTCTATTAGTATAATTACAGAGCAGCTATTGCTTTGAAAATTGGATCCTCAGATTGAACCCATCCAATGTTCGACTCTGCGCATAAGCTTAACTCGATTAAGCATGCAATCGATAAAATATTTTTGAGAGTCCAGCCATCAAATCAAGAAACGCAATTATTCAAGGAAAAATCAAACCAAAGCTAAATTTGATTGCCATCCAACACAATCCTAAGCGATATGATAATTATGAATGCAGAATTTAAGCCAATGACAGCGGAAGTTCCACTCAGTCTCCTTGCTGACACCCCAACCCAGTTCTCCCGAGCCCAAAACACATATTTCACGAAAAAATTTTAAGGACTGGCATTCATTGTATTTACTTAATATACTTCACTGTATTAACTTAATACAGTCAACTCCAAATATTGGAACACTCACGGGACTAGCGAACTTTACTCTATAATCCGGAGTATTCCAATAGCCGAAGCCATCTACTGTATCGTGCCGTAAATCGTGACCGTGCAATGGTATTCAGTTGAGCGGAGTATTCCCGTTATGCGGGATTGATTCCGCTGTATTGGGACACGTTGGTTCCACGTCAATTTGCTCCAATTAAGCGGCTGCCTAATAATGCGAACTTACCTTATAGTGTAGTAGACACGGATGCCCTTTGTGTAAAAACAAAAATTAGGATTCAATAAATTTGCCCTTAGTTGCTTGTTTCAAACCTGCAAAAGCATTTTTGAAGACCTCATCGGCACAAATGTCAAGAGCAGCATGTCCCGTATCGCCCAAACCCTGCTAAACAAAGTAACGCTGAAGGACGTCCACCGAGTGCCTGGCCTCTACGCGAGTCACCTTAGGCAAGGTCTGAAGCTCCTCGTCTGCGTGATCCCCCAAGCGAGGCTTCTTGGCGACGATGTCCTCGAAGTCGTCGTGTTCGGCGAATAACGATGCGTTTTCGTCGATATCGACGTAGGCTTCCCGTTGTGACATCAAGAATGGTCAGACCCTCCTCACAGGTTGACGTTGGCACCTCTCGTCTAAAACGAAAGCCAGCTCCACGGAAGCAGTTTGCGATGGTCTCTGCCTTGACAGCCCGCCAGCTCTTAACCACAAAGCACGCGGCTTAGAGGGGGTGAGAGAGGGCGGAAAAACCCATCCAGGAGGGACGGCTTGAATTCACCCAGACCTTGCCCCAATAAAGCGGATTTTCGTCCCGAATACACGACAAAATTTTAATGTGCTTGCAAAGAAATGGTTCCGTTTCAGACTAAATGTTCCGCTGAACCGGCTGCCCCTATTTACAATAAAGCGGAATCCCATTTATTTCATCATGCGGAGTCATGCTGAGTACATGCTGTCTTCATTAAGTCACGAATCTGCACTATTCGACATTTCCCGTACGCATTACGTAGTACGACTATCTATGGATTACGCCATTCCGGTCGAGGAAAGAGTGTTATGACACAAAGGCTGCTGTAAGAAGACACGGTCTCGTCTCGGTGCCAAGGCATGATAGACGAGTCTTTTAAGGACACGAAGCACTCGCTTCTCCGCACTGCTTACGAAGGCAATTTCTTCACGGAGAAGAAAAACTGGTCGTTAGACCTCGGGAGAGAATAAGTCTCGCTTTTCCCTCATTAGGACCGGAATAGCAGGAAAAGAGGAGAGGAAATTGAGACCTGCCCCTTCATGCGCGTCACGCGGGCCAAACTTTATTATTTTTTTCAAACTATAAACTGACCGTCATCACGCGTGCCAAACTTTTTCTTTTTCCTGCAGCAAACAGGCCCAGAAAAGAAAGTAAGGCCTATCTGATATTGCCAGTGTGTCTCACATGTTAACTACTTTAGATTGTACCGAACGACAATAATTATATTTTGTAGCATTCCTATCTAGGGTGATCGACCGTCCTTAATTTAGAGTGCCTGTCCCGCACACAGCAAGAAAAGTCCTGCAAAACAAAAGGGAAATAAGTGAAGAAAAATATGCATAATTTTGCCTTTCAACATGGCATCCCCCTCTGTTTCCCCCCCATTCTAGTCTCCTCAAATTGGTCACCCTATTCTTACCTCACCTGCTACTATCCTTCTTTTCCCTTGGTACTATCAACAAATATTTGTAGTAAAATATATTTACGGATATATAACGAACATTCACGAATGACACCGTCGATGTTATGAAGGTGGTGAAGATGATGATGTTCGTGGTGGTGATCTTCGCCCTTTGCTGGCTGCCGTATAACATTTACTTCATCGCGACCATCATCGACCCCAGCATCACGTTCATGCCTTACATTCAACAGTTTTACCTGGTCATCTACTGGCTCGCTATGTCGAACTCCATGTATAATCCCATGGTCTACTGCTGGATGAACAAACGGTGAGTCGGAAGCCTCTATCTCTGACGGCCATCCTAATCGAGTGGACTCGAGATGATGAATGGCAGGTTATTATATTTTGTTTGTGTTGGAATGAGATCGATGGGAGGCTTTTCGCCGCTTTCCTCCTCCGCAGTTTTCGGCAGGGGTTCCGCGAGGCCTTCGCATGGGCATCGTGCTTCTCCAAAAGAAGACAAACGACTGTGGAGTCCCCTCGCACTCCGATGCATCCGGCTCGATACATCGCTCTCGAGTCCTTGGGGAATCCCCAACACAATCGGCTGCAGAGTCGCAATGGTGAGCTTTAGATACTTGGCTAATTCATCGAGTCGGATCGCGATGAAGTAAAACGGGAGAGATCGTCTGCGACCGAACGGGAATACTGTATGAAAGGATCATGGCGCAAGGCATGAAGAAGAATAAAAATGTGTAGTTGAAATGCATAGAGTTCCTTCACTCCCAGAAATACCCCCACCTCTTTATCAAGCCTCTCGTGTCTGTTTGATTTATGGCTTCACTTCCTCCCTTCCGCATGACTAGAAACAGATTAGATAAGGGGGACCTAACGCGAACTAACGCGAAGCGAGTTTCTTTTTCTGTTCTCTAATTTACCCCATTTTTCCTGTTAACCCCTTCTCTTTCGTGGTCGTCAAAGACTTGAGAAATATACTGGCTTGCCCTTGCTCTGGACGTGAATGCCACATCCGCTGTGTTTGCCGATCGGGCTAACGATGCAGCATAGCAATAGATAAACATGTTTGTCTTATACTCGGAGGAGAATATTACAGTTGCCTGATTTGTAAAATAATGACATCACCCTTACGAAAAATCCACGCATGTGGATTACCCCAAGTCCACCAGGAGGATTTGGATGAATCCACATGTGGATCACATACGGATTAAGAGGATTCACATAGAGTCCACACGGGGATATTCTTATATCCACATTAGTCCCCATGTGGACGAGTCCCCTGGTGGTACAGTCCACAATAAGTCCACACTACTCCACATTGTCATTGTCTGTCATTCCACATGTGGATCACCCGGAGGATTTGGACAGTCCCCCGGTGGACTTTAGGGGGATGTTTCGTAAGGGTATACTGGCACTAATTAACAAATAGTCAATAGCTTAAGCAAATAAATATAGAGCGGAAACTTAATAGGTGCACACACACCCAATGAACGAGCATGATCGAGTAGTTTCAATCACGGTACGATAATTTTAAAAAATTAGAAGAGATTATTGGAGAAACACGTGGATTTTCGTTCACAGAGCCTTAATGATGCTTGCTGGAAGGCAATTTAAAGCTGCATGGGGACTGTGATGTTGCTATTGCGTAAAATTCAGCGATTCGAGCGGGAAGTGTGGCTATTCGATTTAATAGAATTGAACATTTTAATCTGCTTAATCTGCTTAATCGTTGCTTGCTTAGTGAAAGGGCGCATGATACCCTCCCAGAATTTTCGCCTCATGAATACTGACGCTGATAATAAACTCACCGACTCGCTCTCGGAGTGTGTTTTTCGCAGGCATTTAGTACATTAATTATCATCATTTGTAATTGTAAAATCATGAGGATCATAAGAACAGACATTAGCAACAGGAGGGAACTGGAGAATATGGACTTTTCTGTCATAGGTTCGACGAAGGACACGCTACTCGTGCAGGAACAGCTCCGTTGTCACCAAGGCTCATCTATCAACAACGGTTCCACGAGGTTCCTCAACCAGTTCAAGACCAACAAGAACAGAAACAACTAATTCGTGTAAATATGCTTCTCATTCGTGTCACGCGTTCGTAGATATATATATATATCCTTGCTTGAAAATACAAGGCAGTGTTCCTCATAGAAGCAGTTCTCGCTCAGTTCTTCGAGTTTAGTATCGATTTTCGGAATGAGTTATTTCTGGGAAACGTGTAAATAAAAGCCGGCAAGTTAGCCGATCCTCTGGCGTTCAATTGTATCATCGAATTATCAATCGAAGACGCAACTTTAAAAAACTTGACACATATTAATCATGCAAATGTAATTATGTCAAACGCGCTGAGGATATCACAAAAAAGGAATCGAAAGATTCCTCGGAAGCAGCCGCTCAAGCATTTTCCATGGATGGAGCTGAAGGATGTCAGAGGGAACTGCGGCCAGACGAGAGCCATGTCGAACCCCCTACCCTGAATGGCACGGGACGACATCGAACTTTCCACGGAAGTCCTCGAACAAGCGCAGCCCGCACTTGAGGCGACTCGGACGGTCACGGAGGCTTAACGGACTCGTCCACCAAACAGGATTCCGCTGAGACCTTTCTATTACCGGGCCAGTTGAGATCAGTGAATGCATTATGGATGCCCAACGAAGCGCTCCGCCCATAACATGTCCGTGTCCATAACATGTCACGGCATAATTACGGCTGGCTGCTGTCCAGTTACAGAAAAGCTATTCTTAATGGAAACATACGTTTTACCCCTAATACGATTACTTAACTAAAGCGGCACCTAATCGCATCTCTAGGGACATGATGCCGAGAAACAGGTAATGATTCCACCGGTCAGCCCACTGAATGCTATCCGCATATAATAGTTTTTCTCGATTTCATGTTCCATTTTGGTTTTTGTTGCTACACATTTTACAGTATTCCGTGGAAACCCTTTCTTGCGCGGTGAAAATTTCGTAGCTGTTGGAAAATCAGCAGTTTCGCGGGACCTAAAATTGCGTTCGCATCCATTTATTTCTACTTATCTTCAGTTTCCCGCTGCGCCGTTGAGGGAAGACCACGGCTTTCTATGAATTGCCAATTCCTCAGCACGGTATCGCTTTCATGTTTGCAGCCTCAATAAAGCATGAACGCCTCTCAATGTCCAGCATTTCGGGAGATGCTTTCAACGAACTCATGCACCTGGAAATGAGCAAAGATAGCATTCGCTTGGGAGATAGCGCTTAACATGCGTGTCTGAAGGGGTATGGAATGGAATTTTTTTTCGCTGGATGTTTGATTCGTGGGACCCTGGTTCGCGTTCCTTTTTAATTGCAAATATTGCGAAAATAATGAATTTTACAGTATCAGTAACTGAGAAAGTGTTGCAGACAAACGCCGGAGCCAGAAAGAATCAATCGCTGCCTCGTTTCCGGAGAAATCTCCATGTTCTTTTGTTCGCTCGTTGCTCGCTCTCAACAGGTCAATTTATTAACAAGTCAAGAGCTGAGCAGAATGAAGTCCCCTAACAAGTCCTCTTCGAGGCAGAAAATAATATGGGACATGGGAAACGAATGAGGAAGAGGAGACGGCATGGCGATGTAGGACGGGGACATTGACGTGGGAATCTCTTCGAGAGGAAAATTTCAGAGAAAATCTCACGTTCCATCTGCATTTCAGGAATGGGCAGATGGCAGTTTCTTTACTTTCTGGAGTCTCAGAACATTAGTTTTTGTTTACTTTCGGAATGCACTTCTTCTGTCCCGATGACCACGCTTGTGCATAAGTCCGATTGATCTCGTCATAAGATCTTTCACTCGGCCTGGCTCTTGCGCAGTTCCGTCGTCAAACGATCGGCCCTCTCCCAAATGATGTACACGTAGTGGGCCAGATGATTTACAAGGAAGCGTGTTCCGAGCGATTCTCCAAGCCTTGCTATGGCTGTTTTTTTTTTTTCTTTTTAGCAGTCTATCCCATCACATTCAATCAGGACAAGTCAGCATCATTGCGAAAAACCTAGAGTGCGGCATGATTACCCATAGAGATGGGTCTACACGATGAATATTGAAATAGGCACACCGCAGTTTTACTGAACGGCTCGAGGAAAGGAAGATCCCGGATCGCTCCTAGACTCTTCCTTTCCCGATCCTATAAGGCTTTTCGTGGAGGGGATTTTCCCACCGACTTTCAGCTTCTTCGAAGCTGCCATATTTTGAAAAATGACATTTTTGTGTATATCCGTACATTCGCGCGAGAGAGATAGACGTGCGAAAAGAGCAATCACCCGACGAATGCTAGATGATTGCTGGATCATTGCTCTCGATTAATCAAAGGCAACATCAGAGAAATTCGATGAGACACGCTTGACACTCCCCGACATGGAAGGAAATTATGTTTGACACATGAAAAATGAAACACGACAGCCGGATGTGAATACCTGCGTCCTCTCTGATCGTAAACCCGCCTTCTCGTTCCATTACTCTCTGCTATAGATGCTCTTGCAATAACATCAGCATTACGGTATTTATAGCCGAAACTTGCGACATGAGACGTGTGGGGCCACGTGCCTTCCTTACAGAATAGGGGCCGTATTCGATTAAAATCTTAAACTTAGTTAAAGCAAATTGCTCAACCTCAGGCATGCATTTAAATGGGGCAAATACCAGCTAAGCAACTTGCTAAGAGGAAAATCGCACGTAAGAATATAATAGAATACGGCTCCAGAACTTTTTCTTGGCATTTTTCTAGGCGTATACATGGAAGAAAAAAGTGCCACTGACAAAATTACTTGTTTCTGCCTGTAATACAGTATCATAGGATTCCACTTATTAGCCATGCATTCAATAGGTTTTATCCGCTTTGGGAATGGTATTGGGCATGTAACGTCGACAGCACGTCGTTTTGTGGACAAGTAGTGCGTCTGTGCGTTCGTGACAGAAATAATACGGAGTATGAGATATCCTCGAGGAAAAATAACGCAGGGAGGAGTCCATTTTCTATGAGGAAGTATATTTGTGGCGGGACACCAGCACGGAGTATATTGCGTGGATGCCATAATGAGAATCAGTGATTTCCTCTGATTACTAGGTCTTCGTTAAGAGTGGGTGGTCCCTTGGCACCCTTCAACGGCTTCAAGAGTGGGTATGAAAAAGGAAGAATAATCCCGTGCGGGCAAACGTGAAGAGAAAAGGAAAGAAAAGGAAAGAGGTTCCATCGATTCCCAAGGAATCAATGACGACATCATCCGGGATTCCTCTCTTCGTTCTACCGCGTATCCACATTCATTACAGGTGCCAATGGGACCCACTTTCACGAGACAATCAATCTACCTTGAGCGAAGACGAATGATCACCGAGTTGCATCTAACTCGTGAGGAAAAAGGGTATCTTCTCTGCTCGAAGGTCTATGAAGATTTCCTCTCCTTTTTTTAGCTCTCCTCTCAGGTTATCCACGGCGCTCCAAATGAGGAATTCATTGCCTATTCAGATAACACGGGCATTAAAAAATGCACCTGCCCTCTCCGTTAGGTTCATGGCTCATTTCGACTCGGATCGCCCAGCAAAGCGCGGAGGAGGATTAATTAAGGACAAGAGATGCCATTCCGCGAACTCATGAGATACCCCGAAGGCGACCGATTCCGTGACGCATCGCGCTGAAACGAGAGACTCGGAAGCCTCGAGAAAGGCGAGGGAGAATTCCGAGAACCCCTCGGGGAGGGGCACCCCGAGGATTCCTCATCAGGAGGAAAGCGCAACTTCTTGGATATAAGATTTTCTTCTCTCTCGTGGTTTCATGCAGTCGGAGAAGCCAGATTGGCACCATCTCTCCCTCTAATTGACCTTCTCTCCCTGGCAATCTGATCGACCCCGCCCACTTCGTCGGCTCTCTCTGTGATTCTCTCGCTCGGGCGTCTCATCGCAGGCTCGCATGAACGGCGAATTCTTCCGAGTCGAGTTGCACCTATCGGTGGGTGCATCGAGTGCACCCACTGATAGGTGCACCCGGGCAATTGCTCTGGTCGTTCCCATCGCGTCGTCTTTACAAACATGACGTTTGCCATGGAAGGCGAGCAGGGCCAGGTGTTCACACAGAGACTCGGGAGAAGCAAATAATCGAGATTGACCAGGGTGAGCGAATAGGTTTCAGTCCTGCTGGCTAACTCAGTGGCAGATTCACGGTTCAGCCTCGGTATGGGCATTTCCTATTCATTTTACAGACCAGTTTAACGGTGAGTAACCTTGCGTAACCTTGAGCCGAAACCTACGTTTAGACTAGTCGCAAGTTCTCGCCTCGGCTCCTTCATATTGCCTATATGGTCTCACTAAGGAATTCAAAAGGGTATTTTGTTGGTTCTTTTATGCCATCCAGAGCCTTTGAGACTGGGATTTTTTTTCCCCGGGGAATCGAATGTCAGGCGATGTCGCGTTCAGGCCGGGACCGTTCTCAGGGCATTCAATTGGCCTGCTTCTCACGATATAGATACGATCCCATTCTTTTTTTTCCTTCGGGGGGGGGGGGGGGGGGGACCTAAAGGGGGGGGGCTGTGTGGCGGGGGGGGGGGGGGGGGGGGGGGGGGGTACCTAAAGGTGGTGAGCTCTTTCAAGCCGAGGAATCTTGAGCTGCAGGATTGTCATTTTCTGAGAATGTGCGTACATTCTTGCATCGATGTTGCGAGACATATTTTCTCCGGCATCGAAAACTTGCAAAATAAAAAAGGTGGCTATGTCGAATTTTGATCTTTTTTTCTTACAGGTCACAGAGATAAAGCGACTAAATACTTTCAAGGGGCCTTTCCCCCTCCCCTTTCAGACCCTGACCATAACCCTTTCAAACCTGGCGTCCATTCCAATGGACATTGCATTTACATTGTGTACAGTATACGGCAACTTCTTAAAATTCTCGTGACTTTGCGATCCATATTACGCTAAAATGGGCGTAATTATGCATGGCTCAGTTCCATCAGAGGCCTTCTCTTACCCTGTAGTATTTTAATCTTCAGTTATTTAATTAAATGTTTAATATATAATATATGGTATGATATGGTAAATTTATGCAAAATATGAAAACTA